CCTTCACCATGCGGCGCAATGTCCGCCCCTGCCGGCTCGTGCTCTCATACGTCTCCTGTGGGGTGGATGCAGCGTCAGGCGCGGAGGCTCGCTGAGATGCCCGCAGCCTGCAGGTGCACGCTGAGACCCCCGCCCTCCAAATGCCTCCAGGGCCCCCCACCTTGACCATCTCCAGCTCCTTCTCCCGCTGCAGCAGCTGCTTCTCCAGCTCCGCCACCCGCATCATGTTCTCGTTCTCCAGGTCCAGCAGCTTCTCTGTCACCTGCGGGGGGTGACGCCATCCCGGCCGTGAGCCCCAAGCCCAGCCCAGCCTCCCAGCAGAGATGGAGAGCCAAAGCCCCAGCAAGGAGCCCCTGGGGAGTCCAACTGGCCCCGGGCTGGGGAGCAAAAGCAAGCCTGCGGGGGCAGAGGGGGCACGCACATGGGACAGATGCTCCTCCAGCTCCTCCACCTTCTCCAGCGCCACATTCTTGGTCTCGGCGTCCTCCAGCAGCCCCCCCACATCAAAGACGTTGTCCAGGTAGGCCTGGATCTGCACCAGCAGCTTCTCGCTCTCCGTGTGCCGTGATTTCTACCGAGAGCAGAAGGAAACTGAGGCAGGGATGGACGGGGCAGGGCCCCAACCCTGGGGAATCCCTCCTGGGCATTGCCTGCCACGTCTCCGGCCCTCCACACAGACCTGCAGGAAGTCCTCGAGGCCCAGCTTGGTGAACTCGTACTGCAAGTGCACGCGGAAGTTCATGTCCTCCACCGAGTGCACCACGATGTTGATGAACTGCATGCAAGCCACCTGCGGGCATGGGGCAGGGTGAGCACAGGCCCCTCCAGCATGCATGGCCCAGGGTGTGGGGTTCGGAGAGGGCAGGACCCCACTGTGCATGCCCTGGGGGGGGTCAGAGAGGGCAGGATCCCACCATGCACGCCTTAGGGAGGGTCAGAAAGGGCAAGATGCCACGGTGCACACCCCAAGGGGGTCGAAGAGGGCAGAACGCTGCAGTGCACACCCTAAGGGGGTCAGAGAGGGCAGGACCTGGCTATACACATTGGGGGGGGGGAGTCGGAGAGGGCAGAATGCCGCGGTGCATGCCCCAGGGGGTCGGAGAGGGCAGGATGTTGCTGTGCACACTCTGGCGGGGTCAGAGAGGGCAGGACGCTGTGGTGCACACCCCAGGGGGTTGGAGAGGACAGGATACTGTGGTGCACACCCTGGCAGGGACCAGAGAGGGCAGGACGCCGTGGTGCATGCCCTAGGGGGGTCATGGCAGGGCCGGGCCCTCACCATGAAGTCGATGCTGCTGTCCTCCTGGCGGAAGTACTCCATCAGCTTCTCAAACCGGTGCTTTTCCTTGCAGACCTGCGGTGCAGCCCACGTGGGGTTACTGCCGTCGGGTCGGTCCCGCCGGTGGGGACAGCCTCATGTGAGCCTGTCTCACCGGCGCGTGAGCCCGCACAAGAGGAGAGGGGAGGGTCTCACCTCCTTGAAGTTGTCAAAGGCGGCGAGGATGATCTCGTGCCCCCCCCGCACCAGGCACACGGCTGCCAGCAGCTCCAGCACCAGCGCCTTGGTCCTGGGGGCAAGGGGACTCTCAGTGCTGGTACCGGCACGGGGTGGGTGGACGGCTCCGAGCCCCCTGCCCCTGCCCTTGCCGAATGGATGGATGGACGCAGCCTCACCTGGGGTTCTTGTTGTTGAGGCTGAGGGCGATCTCGTTCACGGCGTGCGGGTGAGACATCACCAGGTTGAAGCCGTACTGCAGGGCAGGCAACAGGGGGCATTGGCCGCAGCGTCAGCTGGGGACAGGCCCCCCCAGGGAAGCTCCAGACAGGGGCTGGGCTCTTCCCCCCCACTGCAGGGCTACCCCCGGGGCACCCCAGCCCCTTCCTGGCCCTGTTGCAGCCGGCCCCAGCCCACCTGGTAGTTCATGATGGCGCGGAGGCACATGATGCAGACGTGCACGTCGTCCTTCTGGCTCACCAGCCGCGAGTTCTTCAGGGCCTTGCGGCTGGGCAGGGTGCTGTAGCTGCAGGACACGTGCCAGGTCAGCGGCTGGAGAGCGCGGAGGCACCACCCGCCCCACCTCCTTTTGCCAGGAGGGACCTGGAGATGCCCCCCAGGAGCTGCAGCGACAGACGTGCGAGGGACCAGGAGGAGCAGAGAGCGCAGAGGAGCTGCAGAGCAGGGCTGGGGGCATGCGGCCGGCGGGTACTTACCCGGGCAGAGGAGAGAGAGAGAGAGAGAGCACAGGCCCGAGGGGAGGCAGAGCAAGAGAGATGGGCCCTGCAAGCAGAGAGATGGGGGCATTACCCCTGTGGTGGGGGCAGAGCCAGGCCCCCCCCCCCACAGGGCAGCAAAGCAGAGCAGGGGTGTGCGTGCAGGGCACAGCGAGGGCAGAGGACACGTGCCAGGGGGAGGGGGGCTGGCAGAGGCAGAAATGCCCTGCAGGGCGGGCATGTATTGTACCGAAGGGTGCAGCAGGCACAGCCGGGCACAAACTACACAGCTGGGCGTGTACCATACCGTGGGGCACAGAAGAAACAGCTGGACACGTGCCGCAGGGTGCAGCAGGCACAGCTGGGCACGCACCGCAGGGCACGGCGGGGCGAGCGCAGCCGGGCACGTACCGCAGGGCGGACTGGCGGGCCGAGCGCGCGAGGCTGTTGGCAAAGGGCGCGGACGGGTGCTGCAGGTCCTCGATGGACCTGCTCCAGGACTTCAGCTTCTCCAGCGCGCCGTCCTCGCCGCTGTCCAGGCCCTCAAAGTCCAACCTGGAGGGAGAGCGAGCACGCACACGCGCGCACACACACACACGGAGGCGTCACGGTGAAGCAGCCCCAGGGCGCCCTGGGAGCAGCCGGGCTGCCGAAGCAGAGGCAGGCAAGCGGCACGCGGGAAGCTCGCGGCACAGCAGGCAGGCGGGCCCAGGGCGGGGGCTGGGCATGGGTTGCCCCCAGCACTGCGGTCACAGGCTGGGGTGAGACCCCGGCGTCTCTCTGGCTGCCGTCTCCGATGCATATATCCCTGCTCCGGTGCCTGGGTACGTTGCCCATCCCTTCTGCCCATGCCTGGCCACTGAGCGGTCATGGCCAGCGAGGCGCTGGTGGCTCCGTGCTGGCCCTTTGACCCCTGCTCCCCACCCCTTTAGCAAGGGGAGGCAGGTGGAGATGCAGGTGTGGGGACAGAGGCTCCCTCAGCCCTCCCAAAGGCCTGGTGCCCGGCTCTGAACAACTCATCACACAGGCCTTTGCATGTGGGTGGTGCAACAGGCGTCCCCATCCACAACCAATGTGACCTTGGCCTTGTACTGTGCATGGGGCAAGATGACCTCCCTGCCCCAGAGCCCCGGACATGGGGCCAGCCCGCGGCCCGCACTTACATGACGGTGCACTGGGCGAAGGAGAGGTAATCCACCAGCACGTCCAGACCCTTGTTCTCGTCGTTCAGGAACTCCCGCACCCACCTGAGGGGAGACCCGGCCTGAGCTCGCACCCGGGGAGCTGGGTGCAGCTCGGGGCTGGCCCCGGGGACTCCGCGGTCGCGGTCAGGCTGGCGCAGCCTGAGACTTTGGAGGCACAACTGAGGGCTCCGCTGGGGTAGCTTGGTGCATGCAGCGGGGCTGCCCCGATTTGCACCCACTGCCCCTTCCGCCGCCACCCCCGGCCATGAGGACCATAATTGGGACCGTTGGGGTGGATTCAGCCTCAGCCCCAGCTGCACATGTGGCTGCAGATTGCCGCGTCCCACCCCTGCCCAGCCCTTATCTGCAGGCTGCAGAGGAGAGCGCTGCCCCCCGCTCAGCTCCTGGGTGACTGGGATGGGGGACATGCACTGACGCGTGCAAGGGCCTTGTGCAGAGAGCAGCTGTGTGCACCCATGAGCTTGGCGTGTGCCATTTGGCACGTGCATGAGCAGGGCACAGGAGTACCCATGTGTGCCTCTCCCATGTTCACACGGTATTTGGTGCAGGGGGCCATGCACGCATGCACACCATCCTCCTGCTCTGCAGGCAGGCATGTGCATGCATATTCCACAACCAGGCGGTCGCTCATCCACTGCCGATGGACACGTGCACACGCCTGGCGGGGTGCAAATGTGTGTTCCCACGTGTCCCGCGGCCCGGAGCGTGTACACACGTGCCCTCGGGCGCTGCCCTCGCAGGCAGGCGCGCGCACACGTGTTCTGCGGTCAGCGCTGGGAACGCATGTGTGCATGCGTGTTGCTGCCAGGCGTGTGGGCCCGGGGCGGGGGGAGGCGATGCAGTGAGTCAGCCCCGCGCAGCTGCTGGGGAGCGGGGCTGCGGGGGGAGGGGGCGGCCAGACCGCCCATTTCCTGTCTGTCTGTTCTCCAGCGCTCGCCCCCAGCTCGCTTCCTGTCTGAGCCACGCTGCTATTTTAGGGCCTCCGCGCAGGGAGCGGAGGTGAGAGGGCACCGGGGCCCAGGCAGCCAAATCCTGTCATGGCCACGGGCCAGAGCACGTGTGCACGTGCAAACGCGCGTGTGCAACTGCAGGCACAAGCGTCCGAGTGTGCGCAGGCAGCAAAAGGCTGGAGCGCTTCACCCCCAACCCCACCAGCTCCTTGCACCCCGCCAGCCCGGTGACCTCCCTTCACCCGCCCACGAGACTTGGGCACTCCTGCTGCCCAGACGCCCGCCTGGCCACAGCTCCAGAGGACAGGGCCACGTTGCCCGGGCAGGCGCCTGCTCGCCTCTGTGCCAAGAGCCCCCGCCAAAACCACCCTGAGTGCCCACAATGGAGGGACGCGGGGGGCAGCTGCGGCTCCCCTGCTCCATGCCCCGTCCCTGCATCCGCTGCAAGGAGGCCTGGCCGCCCCGAGTCCGCAGCGCTGCCAGGGACAGGAACAGCGCTGGTTCCTGTGCACGCTGGAGCTTCCCCTGCAGCTGCAGCGCGGCCTGGGCAGGTGGAGACGGGCCACGGGGCCGTGGGAACCGCGCGCCGCCTGGCTGCCCAGGGCGCGGCCGGACTGCCAGTACCTCCCTGCGGCGGGGCCTACCCGGGGACGCGGCAGCACAGCACGGCCTGCCCCACGTCCCGCCTGGGCTCTCTGCCTTCCCCTGCACCCTGCCCGGCCGCTCCCTTGGGGCCGTGGCCCAAGTTGCCTGGTGTGGACAGCACCGGGCTCGTGCCAAGGCCTCTTCCGCACGGGGCGTCTCAACCTCAGCCCTGCCCATGTGCGTGGGGCTCGGCATGGGGCATGCGGCGCTCACCCGATGTGGTTGGTCCTCAGGCTGATCTCCAGCTCCCGCAGCACCTTGGTTGACTCCTGCACCCTCCGCCGAAACTTCTGCAAGCAGGAGCCTTCGTGAGCGCTGCCCCGCGGTCCTGGACCCCCGGGCTCTAAGACGCTGGCGCCAGCTCTGGGGTGCCAGGCGAGGCTTGATGCTGCCCTGGGTTTGGATGTGGAGATAGGTGCCCCCTGCCCTTAGCCCCCTCACCTTGCGCGTGACTCCGGGGTCCAGGAAGCTCTGCAGCTTCTGGATGTAGGTGTGTGGCGGGTTCTTCACCTGGAACCTCTCCTGGAGCAGGGAGGGCACGGCGCTGAGCGGGGGGTGGATGGAGACCCCCTCTCCCGGGACCACCAACAGCCCAGCTGTTCCCGGTGGGTCCCGTCTCCTGCTGCAGCCCCTGTCCCCATTGCCACCCCCCCGACATCTTCCTGGACCCAGTGCCCTGTCCCTGCCGGCTGCTCCTGTCCCCCACCCGATCCTTGCCTTGTACCTGGTCGCAGATGAGGTCCCATTTCTTCTCGTTGTCGTACTGCCGCAGGAGCCGTGCCTTGTCCGGGGGCAGGTTCATGGAGCTCTGGGGGCAGAAACATGGGTTGGGGGTCAGGGACCAGCCAGGCGGCCCTCCTGGCCAGCGCAACACCCGATGGCCCCAGGGCCAGTCTGACCTGATCCTGGGCCTGGCAACGGTGCCCTCCCACAAAGCCAATCCCCCCGAGCCTGCAGCTGTGCTCTGGGCCGACCAGCGCCGGCCACAGAATCACAGGCAACGAGGGTGGGAAGGGAGCTCAGGGAGTCGCATCCAGTCCAAACCCTGCTCCAGTAGGACCAGCCCCAGCCACATCATCCCAGCCAAGGCTTTGTTGAGTCAGGTCTTCAAAACCTCCAAGCATGGAGATGCCACCGCCTCTCTGGGGAGCCTGGTCCAGTGTTTTACCACCCTCCTAGTGAGCAAGTGGTTCCTAATATCCAACCTCAACTTCCCTTGCTGCAGCCTGAGCCCATTGCTCCTTCTGTCATCTGCCCCCACTGAGACCAGCCCAGCTCCTCTTTCAAACCCCGCATCAGGGAGTTGAAGGCTGAAGCTAAGGGTCCGGGTCTTCTCCGGACCCTTAGCTTCACAAGTCCTGTCCCCCAGCCCCCAAAACACTCTCATTGCCCTCCACTGGACTCTCTCCAATGCATCCCCATCCCTTCTGTAGCGGGGGCCCCAAAACCGGACACAGGACTGCAGATGTGGCCTCACCAGTAAAGAACAGAGGGGAAGAATCACTGCCCTCCATCTAGTGGCAACGCTCCTATTAATGCAGCCCAGGATGCCGTTAGCCTTCTTCCCAGCAAGGGCACACTGCTGGCTCCTATTCGGCTTCTTGTCCCGTCACCCCCAGGTCCTTTTCCGCAGAGCTGTTGCCCAGCCCATCAGCGCCCAGCCTGTACCAGTGCACGGGATCGTTTCCTCCTAAGTGCAGGACTTTGCACTTGTCCTGGTTGAGTAAGTCACTCCTGCTCCACCGTGCTGGAGCCTCCCCCGCTGCTCGGCTGAGCTGCACGTGCCAGGCGGCCACGGCCCAGGCCCCAGCACTCTGCGGCCTCTCTTGGCACTCGTGCTGCCAACCCAGGGCCCGGGCACAGCCAGCGGCAGCCCGTCTATGGGCACACAGAGGTTGACACATGGAGGGTACAATGGGGCTGCACCCAGCATCGGCCACTCGGTTGTCCCTGCCCATCACTGCAGTTAATCGCCGGTCACGGCTCCGCGACGAAAAAGGGGGACGGAGGTTGCTGAGGGCAGGAGTGCGCACAAGGGCAGCTACAGTCGCGGCCTGGCCCCAGCCCCAACAGTGGGGCAGGGCAGGGGAAAGCGGGGGCCGGTGTGCGATCTCAGGTTACGCGGCAAGACATGACGTCACCCCTGATGCCTTTAGCACACGCGGCTGCTGGCGGGAGGGGGGCAGGCTCCACGCCTCACCCCTTGCCCCCCGGGATGCACCGAGCAGCAGGCACCCGGAGCGCCCACTGCGACACGGCCACCCGGAGATCCCAGCCGTGGCCAGCGCACAACGTCCTGCAGATGAGGCCAAGGGGGGACCCAGGGCAACCCCCTCGGGCCTGCCCGGGCCACAGGGAGCCCGCGCAGCCCTGGGCGCACCCCCAGAGCGGTTTGGTGGCAGCCCAGCAGGGCTCATCCTTCACCAGCCCAGCCGTCAGGGCAAAGCCACCCCCATGGGTGCATCCACTCGAGGCCTGGCCCCGAGCTCTTCCCGCTGCCTGGAGGGACTCGGCCTCCTCGTCCTGCGCTCGCTGCGGAGCGCGTCTGAGTGCACATCCTTCCTGCGGCTG